TCAGTTGGCGAGGCCCTTCAGAGAAGTTACAAGGAGGTACAGCCTTGCTGAAGGAAGGACAATACTGGGGCAGGCTTTGAGAATGTCAAGTCTCTCATCCATTTCCAGGTTCTTTTTAGTTGGAGAAGTAGTGTTTCAGTAACCCACTGAGGTCAACATGAATACTATGCCTCCCCTCTTTGACAGATTCTTATCCTTTGAAACCATAAGCCCCAGCCAGGTGGTAGCAGTGCACACCTTTAATCCCAACACTTGGGAGGCAGAGGCAGGAGGATCTCTGTGACTTCCAGACCAGCCTGGTCTACAAGAGCTAGTTCCAGGACAGCCAGAGAGCTGTTACACAGAGAAACCTTGTCTGTCTTGAGAAAGAAAGAAAGAAAGAAAGAAAGAAAGGAAGGAAGGAAGGAAGGAAGAAAGGTAAGACCAGGAAGCTCAGGCCTCCAGGATCTCAGCCCAGGACCGCGGTCACCCCAATCACCAGGCAGAGTCAAAAGCTTGATGCAAACTGCATGAGGCTTTATTGTTTTTTAATGAGCTAACACCTTGTTAGCTCGGGCCTTTCATCCATCCACCATGGCGGATGGCTAGAAAACACAGCTCGAAGCATCTGCAGAGAGATCTTGTAGGGCAGCATAAGGGGAGTGTCTAGGGGTACACACAGGCTCAGGATTAGTGTAGCTCCAGGCTTGGAGGGCTTGCCTTGTGTTGATTGGCCAACTGGTTGTTATGGCCCATAGGCCCTCCTAGGGTGGTTGCTATGCTCTGCGCATCATTGCTGTGCAGGTGTCCATAAAGCACACCCAGAGCCATAAAGCATAGCGCCACCAGCTAACTTCTGATTGGTTCCTTGCCACAAGGCAGGCATCTGACCTCCTAGTGACCAAGGCAAGGTCAGACAAGCACGTGCTGGGCTGTTATGGCGGCCGAAATGGGGAGCTGGCCAGGTATGGTGGGCACATACCTGGAAAGAAAGAAAGAAAGAAAGAAAGAAAGAGAGAAAGAGAGAAAGAGAGAGAGAGAGAGAGAGAAAGGAACCAGAGCCCCAATAAAGTCTGTCTTCTAGCAGTTGTCTTGGCCATAGTGTTTTAATCCCAGCAACAGAGAAGTAATGAACACATACAGCAAGCTCCCCTACCCACTGAGCCATCTTACTGGCCCACGTCTCCATTCTGTTTTTGTGGTGCTGAGGGTCCAACCCAGGGATGATGAACTACACCCCCTAGACCCGCCCCCTCTTAAAATGAGGCACAGGGTGCCATTATGTAGCCTAAACTGGTTACCTGTTTTAGCCTCCCAAGTCTCCGGGTTACCAACACCATCACACCCGGCTTTGAAAGTAAGTTTTATAAAGGGAGAAATGGATCTGATTTATATTCTCTTGGGATATTTGAAATAGAATCTATGTAGCTCTGGCTGTCCTGGAATTCACTATGTAGATCAAGCTGGCCTTAAACCCACAGAGATTCGCCTGCCTCTAAAGGCACTCATCCCCCAACCAACTGTTTTTTGAAATAGGATCTCCTGGTCTCTTTGTAGCCCAAGGTGGCTTCAAACTCCATACATAGCCCAGGCTGGCCTTGTCCCCCTGATGCTCCTACCTCTGTCTCCGGGATCCTACATTACATTAATGGAGTAACGGCCAGTTACTACCTCTCAACTCTCCTTGAGTCAGCAGGCCAGCAGAGGGCACCACTCAAGGTTGTTGTGAGCCACCATGTGGTTGCCGGGAATTGAACTCAGGACCTCTGGAAGAGCAGTCAGTGCTCTTAACCGCTGAGCCCAGTCCCCTTGCATGCGCTTCTAAGTGAGTCTTTAGGACAGGCTCACAGAAGTCGAACTGGTTGGATAAAGGGATGCAGCTTTTACATTGAAATGAAAAAAGCAACAACAAACTTACTTTTCACGGTTGAAATAGAATTGGTTTGTGCCCTGCTTGGCTGCTCTGTACCATTCCATTATTCTTTCGGTTCTATGGGTTCACATGAGATGCTCGGTGGGGCAGGAAAGAGAGATGAGCATGGGCAAGGGACCAAGCCACAGGGACCCCTCCGTATCAGGTGAGGAACGAGACCGTGTGCTGAGGGCACTGGGGAGCCACGGGTAGTTAGAGGTGGAGGGACAATACAGCCTTGAAAGGGCTGGAGGTAGAAGGAACAGACACCACAGGGCTACCTCTCTCTCCGAAGATACCGGTTCTGGCCTGGCCCACGCCTCTCTGCTCCCCTCTTACCCCAAGGCACTGGTCTCTGGGCGAGAGGCCAGGAAGGAGAAACCTGTCCTGCCAGCCCAGGCTGTCTCCGTCAAGCCACACTGTCACACTGTCAGTCCAGCTGAGCTACTCTGCAGGTGTGTGGACAGAAGCGTCCAGGAAGGGTGGTGGCACACCTGGGACAGAAATGGGGGGTCTGCCTGCCTTCCCCTCTCACCCGGAGGCCAGATTCACCCCAAGGCTCCCTAGCATTCCTAGCAAGGCCTGGCCTGTCTAACTGCTTACGGCAAGTTCAGACACACCAGCAGTGGCATATTTTTCAACTTTTTAAAACTTGGGGAGCTGGAAAGATGGCTCAGTGGTTAAGAGCAATGACAGGCAAAAACACCGATGCATATTATAAATAAGTAAGTAAGGAAATAAATAAATAAATCATAGTCGATATTAGACAGGCAGTGGTGGCGCACGCCTTTAGTCCCAGCACTGAGGAGGCAGAGGCAGGAGGATCTCTGTGAGTTCGAGGCCAGCCTGGTCTACAGAGTGAGTTCCAGGACAGCCAGAGCTACACAGAGAGACCTTGTCTCAAAAATAAGTAAATAAATAAATTTTAAAGAATAGTGCTGTTCTCTTGTTTAAGTTTAAAAATATAAAGAGGCACAAGATGGGAGACTTGAGAACAAGAGATACATTAATCATAGTTTATTCCAGGTCGGGGAGGGGAGAGAGAAGAAGGCTAGAGAGAGAAGAGAAGAGAAGAGAGAGCAAAAAGAGAGTAAGGGGGCAGGGGTCCTTTGCACCTGCGTGCAGACTTAGTTCCCACGGAACCCTGGGCTGACCAGGGCACTGCCTGTGTGGATTCTGCCAGGTAACAGGGCCAGGCCAGCATAATGTCTGAACCTTTCAAATAGGAAAACAAAACAAACAACAACAACAACAAAAACCCAATGGGCCCTGTGCAATGACATCGAATATTATAATTCCCGGTTCATAGTTGACACGGTGAGGCTCAGGCTGTCGGGCGGGACTGGGGAGGACACAGGGTTGCCTCTCCCAGAGAATCCCAGCCACATGCTAAGGCAGTGAGCCTGCTTGGGAGGGGGCCTGCTTCCCCGCAGAGCAGCACGCAGTGCCCCGTTTCCTTGATGTGGTTACAGGTTAGGCAGACATGTGCCTAGAGAGGCAGGCAAGCCCAGTGCTTGGGACTACAGAGAAACCAGTTCAGCCAGTCAGCTGGCCGGGCCTCTTGTGTGTATTAAAATCTGGGATATATCGCATCTCTGTGGCACTTTGAAAACTCTGATTTGGAGCCAGCCATTGCGATGCATATCTGTAATCCCAGCACTCAAGAGGCAGAAGCAGGGGCATCAAGAGGGTGACATTGGTGGTACAATGGCTCAGTGGGTGAGGAGGACCTGAGTTCAGAGCTCTTTTTGTTTGTTTGTTTGTTTTTCCGAGACAGGGTTTCTCTGTGTAGCTTTGGAGCCTGTCCTGGAACTCACTCTGGAGACCAGGCTGACCTCAAACTCACAGAGATCCCTCTGCTTCTGCCTCCCGAGTGCTGGGATTAAAGGCGTGCGCCACCAACGCCCGGCCCAGATCTCATATTTTAAGAGCTAGTGACCCCAGCTTTGGGGGGAGCAGAGATGGGAGGATTGTTGGGCTCACTGGCCAGAAAATTTAGCCTGAAGAAAATGTTGGGCTCAAGGTTCAGTGAGAGACCATGCTTTTTGTTTTTTTGTTTTTCGAGACACGGTTTCTCTGTGGCTTTGGAGCCTAGCCTGGAACTCGCTCTTGTAGACCAGCCTGGTCTCGAACTCACAGAGATCCCTCTGCCTCTGCCTCCCAAGTGCTGGGATGAGAGGCGTGTGCCACCAATGTCTGGACAGAGACCACGTCTTAAGGGAATAAAGTGAAGCAAACACACACGGTGGGGGGTGGGGTAGGGAGAGAGGGAGAGAGAGAGAGCGAGAGAGAGAGAGAGAGAGAGAGAGAGAGAGAGAGAGACTGAGACTGAGACTGAGACTGGACTACACAATGAGACTACATCTCAAAAAAGAAAGAAAGGAAAGAAAATTTCAAAGCATTAAGTCCTTAAGTCTGACGTTGGCAGAAGAAGCCGGTCTCTGGAAACCCAGGCTGCCAGGCTGGCTCTCCAGGCCTGCCTGCAACTAGCCATTTTGAATCAATGGCACGAACCAATTGATGCCAGCTGGATTTCGCCACTTCCTTGTGAAGTCTTATCCACTCACCCTTGTCCCCAAAAGAAAACAAACTCAGGCTGGGTGGAGTGTTGCATGCCTGGGATACCAGCATTCTAGAGGTGGAGACAGGAAGGGGGAGTGTGATTGTAATCTTCTCACGAGGGGAGGCAGATACGGCACGATCACCTTGGCTTCCAGGCTAGCCTAGGATAACATATTGAGCTTCAGAGTAAAACCCCCATCTCCAATGACGCAGAAAACAGTCTCGTGTGCTC